GAGCGCGGGGGAAGCCGCAGCGCCGGGCGGATCCGCCATCTTGATTGGGGGCAGGGCGTGGGAGCCCCGCTCTGGGCGCCATCTTGAGTCCGGGCAAAGCCCGCCGAGCGCCTCGTGCCGCCGCCGCCATCTTGGCTGCGGGCACGGAGCCGGGCCGGGCCCGGCCCGGGGGAGGGGGCGCCGCCGAAATTGGGCTAATTATTCAGCACTGCCAGTCTGGGGACTGCTCATGGCACTAGACAGCATTTAGCAGCTTTATTTAATGACAAAGTGGGTTTAACTGCAGCTACTGTCTCAGGGATGACCTAGTGGGTGAGAGACCCGCGGCACGACCCGGCCCCTCCGCTCCACACCAGGGCCGGGGTTTTCCTCAGCTACAGCCCTGGCTCCATTTGCTGACCAAAACAGTGCATTTTCCAGCCAGGTGGACCTCAGTGGTGAGTTAGATAAGATTGTTTCACTCTAAACGTGTGTATTTGAGTGTAGGCCTTGACTTCTGCAGAGATTTAGGTAAAATCCATGGATTTCACACATTTGGGGATTTTCAGACCTCTAGAAGATTTCCTTCCCAGGTGCTTGGCCACCCATAGTGGATTTAAGCCCATTGCAATGGACTTACCTGTGTTAGATACTTTCTCTGGCTCCCTTCAAAATAATCCCCAAGCTCCTTCATGTGCTACAAGATGAAGGCTCCTAAAAAAAACCTAAGGGAGAAGGGAGTGTCCATCTGGTTCCTGCTGTAGATGATGCTGGAGCGTTTACTTTGTTCCTGTTCAGGAACAGGCACAGGAGGACCCTGGATCCTGATGGAGGCCTCACAGATCTTGGGATCTTCCATCAGGACATTCCTGGTTCCTCTCCACTTGCATCATTCTGTAAAGCAGTTTGGTTCCATAGAGGAATACTGCATGTCTCTGTTTAAATATAGAAAATATTTGTTTGCTGGGAATTTTACTAGCAGTTACTCATTTTCTTTGCTTCACTTTGCCATCTGTTGACTGCAGCAGAAGAATTAATTGTCCCAGACCTCACTACAAGTCCCTTGTGTA